CAGGGTCCCGTCCACCCAGAGCCCAGCCTTCACTTCTCCCTCACCCCACCCCCACCTTCTTTTCTCTTCCTCTCAAGGCCAACAATTGACCGAGTTTCCCAACTTAATTGACACCTAATTGTGGATCAAAGCAAGAGATAATGGGCCACAATTGCATCTAATGGCCTAGGCCTGGGAGCTCTCCGGGGCTTCTCCTTAGAAGGATCTCTGATCCCTCCCAGGAAGGGTAAACAGGTCCTTAGCTGGCTCCTCTCTGTCTGGGCAGGCAGCCTTCCCCAAGTCCAAGGGGTCAGCTCCCATTGGGTGGGGTATTGGCTAAGAGATTGTGCTTCAGGCAACTAGGACAGATTGGGGAGAGGACAAGGGACAAATGACCTCTGGAGGACAGAGCCAGCCTGGGCCTTAGCCTCTGCTGTGCTTCGAAGTCAGTAAATATTTCTTAATGTTCAGAGCAGGTCCTGGCCTCAGTGCTGAGAATGTTGATGTGCAGGTGTGTCCAACTCTTAGTAACCCCTTATGACATTTTCTTGGCAAAGATGCTGGAGTAGTTTGCCATTTCTTTCTTCAGAGGTTAAGTGACTTGACCAGGGTCACACAGCTAGTGGTTGTCTGAGGCTGTATTTGAACTCAAGTCTTCCATCCTTCTATCTACTGAACCATCTAAGTGCTGGGGTTTCAAAAGAGGAAAACTGATCTAGGCCTTGCCTTTGGGAGAGTTTATATTTGGGGGGGGGGAAGGCAGGGAGGTGTCTTCTGCCTGAGATAAGCTCCAGGAGTAGCTGGGGAGTGATGAAGGCAAAGGAGCCTATTAGACGGTGGCTCAAGGGCAAATTGGAGGACAGTGAGGGTCCCTTTTCCAGGAGTAAGGGCTGGAAGTCCAAGAAGCTGGCTCCCAGAAGAAGGGAACCCCCAAACTAGGCCTTTAAAGAAGACACAATTGCAACAGGTGGAGATGTGAAGGGAGGACACTACAGGATCCCTAGATCACCTTTTCTTCCCCCAGCATCTGCACATCCGTCTCTTTCTGGCCCCTTCCCATATCTCTTGGGCTCATGTGATTCGAGATTGTGCTGTGGGAGAGAACTCTAAGGAGCAACCCCTGAGAGCTCCCAGGTCTAGGCCATTAGCAGCAATTGTGACCTTTAAGTTCTCTAGCTGGCACAGGATTCTACCCTCCAGGAGCCTGGACTATGTGACTGATTCTTCCCGGAGCAAACCATGATTGAGGGTGGGGGGTGGGGGGGTGTTGGTTAGTCCTGTGTCTGGGGGCTGTTCTAGCCTCCTGAGGAAACCTCCTTACCCTTCCTGTGAAGCAGCTTCTATCCTCCTCCTCCCTAAGCAGAGCCTATGTCCCATGGCCAAAGGAGCAGCCCCATGCTGCTGCCCAGCTGGCATCCTGACCTGGCTATGTCTGACAGAACGAATGGAGCTGGAAGCCCTGTTGGATGCCCACCCTCCTGCCCCAGGGATATTGGCTGCCTGCCACTCAGCCTCCTGGTGGGATGCCTGTGTGTGGTGTGTGTGTGTGTGTGTGTGTGTGTGTGTGTGTGTGTGTGCGCGCGCGTGCGCGCACATGCATGATCACATTGGATTGAGGGCAGTGGAGGTAGGGAGGTCCAGTCCAGGTGCTGTTTCTTCTTTTAGGAGTGGATGTTGAGGTTGAGGTTGACCTATGAGCCCTGGGTCACTGAGTGAGCCTTGGGCCTGTGGGTGAAGAGTGCAGGGTCAGGAAGTAGTCTGGGGCTGGAGTTCTGGGGTTCCTTTGTTATTCTGAGAAATGATTGGTACCAGGTTAGTCCTCAGGCAGGGGTGGGGGTGGGGGTTGGGGTGGTGGCTTTGACGTCTAAGGGACTTCTCTGTCTCCAGCAAGGTGCCAGATTTCCCGGAAGGATCAAAGCCCCCAGAGAAAGCACCTGGCCTTGGCAGTCCAGTCTCTGAAGTGAGAAAAGACCTCTCCAGAGACAAACTTGGGGTGGGAATGGCAGAACAGAGACCCAAGAGACTGAGACCCATAGACAGAGGCAGAGACTGAGAGGAAAGACAGACAAGAGACCCAAAGCCAGGAAGTGAGAGAAAGAAGAGAGGAAGGGGCCTTTCTCAGGAATCTAATTACAATACATTAATGGACAGACTTTATGTAGAAAGGCAGCTGAGTACCGGGCCAGGGTGGAAGGGTTGATATGGAGGGGACAGAGAAGTAAATAGGTCCCCACCCCTAACTGAGCTTCTCTAAGGACTCCTTGGCCTTGAGAAGAAAGGTCTTGAACCTCCCTCCTTGCTTCTGTCTTCCCTTTCTGAAAAATCCCTCAGGACATGGTCTAGCTTAGAGGGAAAAGGCAGCTCCTGCCTCTGGCTCCTGGGAGCTCCCAAGCCTCTGTCAAGCTGATGAAGATGAAATTCTCAAGGTCAGGAATCACCTTTTCTTTTCTTTATTGTATCCCCAGCACCTAACACAGTGCCTGGCACATAGTAGGCACTCAATAAATTTTTTAAATTGGAAAAAAAGAGAACCCAGAAATAATTTTTTAGAAGTCAGAATGCTTGCCTGCCCACAATTCTGCAGCAACCTTCCCAAAGGGAAGTCTGGCCAGGCTCATGAACCACAGGCCTGGTTACTTAACAACAGGATCAGAAAAAGAGGCATGAAGTTGGATTGAGATCTGAGAGACAAAATTCCTCTTTGAGCACAATGTTGGGCATTGACACCTTCTGCTCTCCTTGTCCTCCTAAGGCATTGCTTTCTGTTGGGGACTTCTTGCTCTGGCCAGAGATTGAATAGTTAGCGCCTCCAGGGTGACAGGGGTGACAGGGTGGGTTACAGCTGGGGGCCCTGAAAAGTGGCTCTCCTTCCTCCATCCACATTTTTGGAGGCCTTCAAGGTACTGACTCCCAGGATAAGTCCTGTCCTCCAGACTCACCTCCCTGACCTTTCTGGAGATGAGATAAGCTACAGTATTTTCCCTGTGATGTAGGTGGCATTGTCTAGCTGAGGCCAGAGCAGACCCAGACCTTCCTTTCCCTTCAGTCTTCTTCTTTATACGTCTCTATTGCACCAGGATAAAAATAGAAGACACTGCCAGGTTGCCTTCCTTCCGCTCACTTGCTGAGAACAATATTGCTCTAGCACCCATGTGAACTTGTCAGTTTGACAAACACTTCTTTCCCATAAGTCACTTACTAGGCAAGCTGCCATGCATTCTGCAGCCTTATCATTTAGAAAATGGGGCTCACCAGCCCCCTCTCACAAGGTGGTCCACTATGAACTGTTCCCTTCTCTAGACCTCCCTACTAGGTGGCCCCCATGCCTGGGATGCTTGCTGTCCTCCATCTCCACCTCTAGAGCTCTGGCTGTCCTTCAGAAGTCAACTTATTGATCTCTGTATTTGATCAACCGACATTTGTTAAGTGAGCACTGTGGGCCATTCCCCATGAGCCCTCCCTGCCTCAGTCTTCCTTTAAGTTCAGTTCAGATTCTATCCTCAGCTTGTGTGTAACTTTTCCTGACATTCCCCTCCCCCCTCAGCATGTGTTTTAACTTTTGTGGGGTGTATTTTTTCATATGTATCCCCAGGCCCAGCACAGTGGGTGGCACATAGTAGGCACTTTATTACTAACTGCTCATTTAAAGATGTCAGACACCACTTTTCCTTTCAAGGTGCTACCTGTGTTTCCCACACTTCTGTGGGAATGGTATGTACATTGTCTCTCCCATTAGAGAATAAGTTCTGTGAAGTGAGGGGACTGCTTTGTCTTCCTGTCCCAGTCATTATCCAACACAGCACCGACTAAGGCTTGAAATAAATTCCTGATGGCTGGTCTAGAACCAGATGATGCTTAATCTTGAATGACTGTATCGGGGGATCAAGCAGAAGTGTACTGGGTCAGGGTGCTAGGGTGCTGCTCTGCACTCACTGTTCCCTCTCCTTTGACCTGAATGCAATCTAACTTACCTGGAGTATCCATTCGCTTCTGGGTATTTTAGGCAGGAAGTAGCTGAACAAGCTAGAGCCCACACAGCTGAGGTCTGGAACAGCCCCAGGGTCTGTGGGACCCTTCATTCTCAAGCCTGACCAGTTTGCAAATACTGATTCAGCCTCTAGCCTTGGTAGTACCTAAATTCTGAACCCCAAGGTAGGCAGGAGTCAGTCCTATAGGGTAAAAATCTTGCTTTAAATTGTGGTTTCGGTTAAAGGGGCCTCAAATTGAGTGGAGGGATTGCTCATTTAGGGAGTCCCTCTTCATTAGTAGAGGAGACTGCTCCTCTTTTTCTCTGCTCAATCCTCACCTCAAACTATGCAGGGACCAGATTCTTCCCTGAGTGGGGGGGGGGGGCCGCGTAACTTTGGCTCAGAATCCCCAGCCTAATTTGTTGATGAGAATCTAACCTCTTGCAAATGAATTTAATTGCCTTCCCCTATTACCTCCAGGTCCAAACATGTGCTGCTATTCAGCACTTTTTTTTTTTATAAAGGGCCTTCCCTTCTCATTAGCCAGGATGATTTTCACACATAGCAAAGAACCAAACCGCCCCCATTTTCCATCTCCTGTCATTGCCTTATCTTTTCCTAGAATACTCTCTCTCTCCTTTCACCTTGAGTTTTGAACACCTCCTGCAGAAGATGACCCCTCCCCCTTCTTTATAATGGTTGCTAAGTGAAAGTTTCTCCTTTCGAATGGAATCTCATCAGAAGTGGACTGCTTTCTTTTGCAAAATGTCAAATTATATATGCACACATAAGACGTGTTAAAAACCTAACTATTCTTTAATATTTCCATAAATAATTCTTTCTGTACATAATATACTTCGACAAAAATTTGCAAATATATATATAAGTTCATGTTTGGAGAGCCTCCAGTGGGGCAGAAGCTAGAGGAAAGAGAATTCTTTCACCAGGTCTTCTGTCTCAGACTTTTGTTTCCTGGAGACTTCCTGTCTGATCAGGTCCCAACCGACCCATCCTATCCAGTCCCTTATCTCTTCTTTCTCAGTACCAAAAATCACCCTCAAAATGGGCGGGCCTCGAATGTCACAATGCCCTCAGGAAGGAGGCCTGGTCCGGGCAACCGCTCAGCAAACAAGCCAGCACCGACGGGATGGCAGAAGGGGCCACTTTGCAGGAGCTGGGGGGTAAGGGCAGAAGGGGCAGAGGTGGAAGGGTCAGGCCACCAGCAAAGGGCTCCTGGACAAGGCTGGGGACTCGGAGCTGCGGTGAACTGGGGTAAGCGTATGGCAGGCCTGGAGGCGGCATTGGTGCAGAGCGCAAAAGCAGGGGGCTGTAGAGGTGGAGGGGGAAGCCTGGAGGAGGGTCGGGGGGCCTCAAATCCTGCAGCTGGCGCTTCAGCTTCATGCGGCGATTCTGGAACCAGGTTTTTATCTGTGGGAGCCCAACAAACCAAGCCTGAGCATCGCTGCAGGCTGGCGGCCAGACCGCGGCTCGAGGGTGAGGATAGGATGGGGTGTAGTGGGAAACTCCGGCCCCCCACGCCCCCAGTCCCACTAGATACCTGAACTTCTGACAGCTGCATCTTGCCGGCCAGTTTGCGCCTCTCAGCAGCGCCCAAGTAGTGGTGGCGTTTGAAGGAGCTCTCCAGAGTGCTGATCTGCTTGGTCGTGAAAGCCGTGCGAAGGCGGCGGGCCCCCCGGCAGTGGGATTCGCGGCCTGGGCCCTCTGACAGCCCGCAGCTACCAGTGCTGACCTCAGGGGAAGCCTTCTCGTCCACAGACCAGGATTCTTGGGAGAGAGGAGGCTCTTAGGAGGTCTAGGCCTTCCCACCCAGACCTGTAGCCGCGCCCTCCCCGGGGGGCCCTAGCATCCATGCAGGTCAGGAGGCTAAGAATCTGTCCAAATGGCAGTTTGCTCTGTTAGGGAGGGTCAATGAAGGCTGGCGGGTAAGCTAAGTGCTTCCTTACTAGTCAAAACACGTGGCCCTGAGTGGGGAGCTCCCCAAGTGACAGGTAGAGCAGCCCAGAGTACCTCGCCCTCTAAGACGACCTGACCCTGACCTGCCTGCACCCTCCTAGCTTCTGGAGGAAAGGCGGTCAAACAGGAATCCAGCTCTCCCGGAAACAGTGACTTCCCCTATTGGGTGGGCCTGGTCCAGTCTAGTCCCATACTGTCTCATCCCTTCTAGCCACCCGTGACGCCCCTTCCCCTACCTCCTCCCTTACCCCACAAACACAACTCTTTTCTGTGTTTCTGGCCTTTGTCTACACCCCGTCCTCATTCAGGATTCCCTTCTCTATTGACCCCCCACACTCGGAGAGAGCACTTACTGACTGAGGAAGACCCTCCGACGGCGGCGGCGGCAGGTAGCTCCAGGGGCCGGGAACTCATGGAAGGGTCCTCTGACCCTGAGGTGTCAGGGGATCCTGAAAAAAGATCCCCCGAGAGGACCTGGGGCCTTGGGCCTCCCCTTAGGGAGGAAGTGTCAGAATCACCTTGGCCAAGGTGTGAGAGCTTTTGGCTGCTCTGGGAGAGCCATTCCACAGAGAATGGAGCCTTCGTCATGTGGAGGACAGTGTGTAGACACTGAGGGGGATGCCCTTTGACTCTCAGGGGAGAGACAGGGTGAGACTTAAATAAGCTGTGGACTGGCTAAGGGCCCACCCCCCCAATCTGGCTTGCATAAACAAACCTCAAAGGCTCCGATAAGTACCACCTAATTGTCCTACATTCAGCCCCACCCCGGGGGCCCTTCGCACTTCGGCTGGCTCCTAGATGTCTGAGTTCCTTCTCCGGGAGGTTACATCCCTGTAGTTATATCCTCCTTTTCACTTGCACTCCCCCTCCTCCTGCAGAGGACTCCTTAGTTCTCACCCTACCCATCCCCCATATACCTCGGCCCAAAGAGGATGCCGAGAAAATGGTTCTTCCAGGTCTCCCTCCCTTCAAAAGCCCATTGGGCTGGAGAAGGGGTGGGGAACCCCCATGTGGCCCTCTAGGTCCTCAAGTGCAGCCTCTAACCCTAAATGTCCCTGGGCCACACTTGAGGACTTAAAGGGCCACATGTGGCCTTGAGGTCGCTGGTTCCCCACCCCTGGGCTAGAGGCTTCAGTCTGGCTCAATCAATAAATAGTTAAAAACAACAACCACCACAACATTTGTTAAGGGCCTACTTTGTTCCAGGTACCCTGCTAACACTAGAAGAAAGTAGCAGCTGCCGATCTTGCCCAGGAAGTCCCATGTTCATCCATTCTCCCAAGGAAATGCATTCTACAATTTGAGCAGAGAACATGCAGGTATAACCCGATCACTGACCTGGTTTGTAGGTTAGTTTAGAGGCTTGGGGGTGGGGTCAGGCAGGGAGCGGCTTAGAGTCCAACCCATCTAATAAAGCCAATGGTAAGGACACTTCCATGTGTTCCTCTATAGCTAATTCGTCCTTTTCCCTAGTGATGTGCATCTACAGATATGTGCATATATACATTGCTGTTGTTCAGTCATGTCTAATTCTTTGTTTTCTTCACAAAGAACGGCGGTGGTTTGCCATTTCCTTCTCCAGTGTGCCTATGGGCACTTCAGCCCCAGAAGAATCTCAATCTTCTATCCCTCTACTATTTTGCTTCTCATTAGCTCCCAAGTATTCAGTTCTCATCTTTATGCTGATGATTCTCAGATCTATTTATCCAGTCCTAATCTTTCTGCTGACTTCCAGGCTCTATCTCCAACTCCCTCTCATGATGTATGTCCTGTAGAAATCCAAAACTGACCTCATTATCTTCCTCCCAAAACTCCTCTCTTCCAGATTCCAAACTTCCCTATTACTCAGAAAGGCATCACTATCCTTCTAGGTCCCCAAGCTCATATTGTAGGTGTCATTTTCAGCTCCTCACTCTGTCTCACCTCCCATATCCAATTGATTACCAAGGCCTCTTGGTTTTACTTTTGCCACATCTGTCACATATGCCCCTTTCTCTCTTCTGATAGCATCTCCACCGTGGTGCATGCCCTCACACCTGGATAACTCCAATAGCATTGGTCTGACTGCCCTCTCTCCCCACTTCAGTCCATCCTTTTCTTATCTGTGAAAGTGATCTTCCTAAATCACAGCTCTGACTAGTCTCAGCTCCCCATCACCTCCAGGAGCAAATGTAAAATCTTCTGTTTGTCATGTAAAGCCTTTCATAAGTGGCCTCTTTTACCTTTCTAGTCTTCTTCCACCTCTCTCTCTCTCTCTCTCTCTCTCTCTCTCTCTCTCTCTCTCTCTCTCTCTCTCTCACACACACACACACACACACACACACCCTTTCTCTTTCTTATTTCCCCCTTTCTCATATTCTTTCTCTCTCTCACACACACACTCATATACACACCCTTTCTCTTTCTTATTTCCCCCTTTCTCATATTCTCTCTCTCACACACACACTCACATATATACCCTTTCTCTTTCTTATTTCCCCTTTCTCATATTCTCTCTCTCTCTCTCTCTCTCTCTCTCTCTCTCTCTCTCTCTCTCTCTCTCACACACACACACACACACACACACACACACACACACACACACACATTGTGATGTAATGGCAGGGCCTCCTTGAACTAACACACTCTCCTCTTAGCTCTGGGTATTTTCGAGGGCCATCCCCAGTGCCTGGTTGCTCTCCCAATCCATCTTTGCCTCCTACAGGAAGCCTTTCCCCAGGCTGATTATTTCCTATTTATTTGAGCTTGTTTGCATGTGTTTGCTTCTGTCTTTTACTTTTCTTATCCCCAGCACTTAGCACAGTGTGTGGCACATAGCAAGTGCTTAATGTTCACTGACTTATATGTACGTATGGTATGTATGTGAACATTTGGGCCATCCTATCCCTAGTTTTCTATGAGCTCTTGGCATGTCCCTTCACCCCCTCTCAGGCTAGATCTCAGCTTCTCCACCTGGCCAATGAGGAGGATGGAGAGTTAGATGGTGGGGGTAGGGAGAGGGTCCTGATTGAAGCCTGTGATCCAGGGCAGCCAGAGTAAGAGCTCTTCAGGAGGAATATTGACAAGCTGGAACTGGGGAGGAATAGAGCAGACTAGAAGGAAACAAAACAAAACAGACAATGGGAAAAAAAAGGTGAATATGAGAGGTTGAAAGGAAAAATACTGAGACTTAGTGGAAAGAGTCAGACAGGGATTCCACCCTAGCTCTACCTATTCATGCCATTAAGTTAATGTGGCCCTGTCATTTCACTTCTCAGTGTGGGTGCCTCAGTTCCCTCATCTGGAGGATGGGAGGATCAGACTGCAAGGTCTTGAGGATTCCTTCTAACTCCGGATCACCAGTCAGGTGATCTCGGAAAGTAAGAGCTAAGGAGAAAGGACCGATGAAACTTGAAACATCTATCTGCTCACAGTGGTGCTTTGGAATCACTACCCCAAGGGTTAATGCTCTTTTTTTTGGCTGTGATTTTGATATCTGCCTAGTGGAAGGGTTGAATGGGAAGATCTCTGGGAGTTCTTCCAGGTCTAAAATTCTGGGAGGTTGTGTCCACCTGGGTTCTTAAGCACTGAATTTAGATGTTGTGTGTGTGGGAAGTTTAGAAATTGGCCTAATTACATCCAAGAAGACAGAGCCCTTATCTCTGGAGAGAGTCCCTGGTGTACTCAAAGAACAGGCTTCTGAGACCTTCAGAAGTTACAAAGCTATTCGATAGCCCTGTTACTGCCTGTGGTGAGTATTTTGGCAGCTAGAAGGGGCCTGGAGTCTAAGGTTCGAATTCAGTGGGTGAGGTTTAGCCCACAGGTGAGGAAGGCAGTCACTCTTACTAGGTCGAGAAAGATAATGAGTGACCAGTGGCTCCGGGGTTCTCCGAATCCTAAAACTATTCCCTGAGTGCAGTGTTTTAACCTAGTAGAAGATGGGGCAGAAACCAAACCCATTTAATATCTAATTGTTGGTGAACCTCTCCCCTCCCCCCCCCAGCTGGGGCCCAAGGCATGTCAGAATAATCACAGCCTCTGGTTGCAATTTTGCAAAGCACTTTGCATACATTATCTCATTTGAGATAAAGTGATTGAATTGTTAGCCTGCCCTTTTTGTGGGGCCTGGGAAAACCCAGTCTGATAATCACTTGCATTTCCACAGCCTTAGAAGACTACACACTTTCTTCCCAATTTGAAGGAAACTGAGGCTCTACTTGGGAGAGGATGAAGGGTCACACAGCCAGCATTGCCAATTTTCTGTCTCCCTGTCCCACCCACAAACACAAATGCTGTGCCTGTGATCAGTGAAACATTCTATGGCTTCCTGCAATGACACCAAGAATTGCTAAAGGGGGATTTGAAAAAGGCTGATCTGGGGCTGAGCTTCCATCGGGCTGTCACAGACAGACACTTAAGAAATGCTTATAAGTGCATTTATTTATTGGACAGAACCGGTGGTTTGGAAGGGACCCCTTAAAACCTTTCGTGTGTTGACTCCTTTGAGGGGAGGAGACACTTAGAAACAGCCTTTCCGGCAGCACCTGGGCAGGACTGGCAGTGGGCTGGGAGACCAAGACCAAAGCAACCCAAATGCTAATTGTGGATTTCCAGTGGAGCCACTTCCCAGGATTCCCGGCCCCAGGGGCAAGGGCCAGAGGATCAGCCTTGGAATCTGGGCTGGAAAGGAATGAGACCATTGTTTACAGGCTAGACTAATGGGATTGGGCAGCCTAATTGTTTTAGTAGTGGGGGGAGGCCTTGTTATCTTTCCCGGAGGTTGGGGTGGGGCTCTAGGGCCGTGGGACACTGTCACCTATCCTGGGAAGGTGAGGAGGGAAGGAGGGGGTGGGGGCCTGTCTCCTCTTGGAAGAGAGTGGAAGGTAGCGGCTCCCTCTGCTGGGTGTAATGCTCCTGAGCTCAATGGAGGGAGTGGGAAATGATTACTAAGAAGCACCCACCTGTGGCCAGCACTGCTGTGATTTCCTTAGGGTGGGGGACCCCTCCACTTCAGAGTACAATTTTTTCGAGGCATAGAATCTTAGAAGGTGCCAGAAGCTCGAGGAGGTGAGCCTGTGGGTCTGACTCCCAGCCCTTCACCTCACATCAGTCTTTCTGCCTGTCTGTCCTGCCCTGTCCTTTCCTGCCCTTGCTGTCCTGACCTATCTGCTTGCCTGCTACTCTTGTCTGTAGGTGGCACAGTGGGATGTAGTCAGGAAGACTTGAATTCAAATGTTGCCTCTGACACTTGCTAGCTTTGTGACTTTGGGCAAGTCCCTTTAACCTCGGTCGTCTTAAGTTTCCATAACCATAAAATGGGAAGAATAATTGATTTACCTTGAAGGCTTGTTGGGAGGCTCAGATGAGATAATGTTTATAAAGCATTTTGGTGAGGTAGTGCCACGGACAGAGCTCCGGGCCTGGAGTCTGGAGGAGCAGACTGCAAATCCCGACGAAGGCAATTACTAGCTGTGTGATCTCTCTGTTTGCCTCAGTTTTCTCACCTGCAAAATGAGGTGGAGAAGGAAATGGCCGACCACTGCAGTGTCTTCGCCTCTATGGGGTCCCAAAGGGTTGGAAGTAACTGAACAACAATAAAAGCATTTAGCACAGTGCAGGCACGCAGTAGGTGTTGTGGAAATACCAGCTGTTATTATTGTTACTGTGACATTGCCTCTCCAAGACTTCTTGGATACCACATGTGTACAGAGTAGTCAACAAAGGATAGGCCAGGCTGGCCATCCTGCTAGGGACAAAGGGAGATGAGGAAAAAGGCAGGGTGGAGAGAAATCTGAGGAAGGGGAGGGCACAGGTTGCCTTGACCCTAACCTCCCCCCCCAAAAAAAGGAGGAGGGATGGGGGGAAAGTGATGGCATCAAAGTAAGGCAGATCAGGCACCTTGCCAGTGTTCACTTGTGCCCCCATCCCAAGGGGGCCCACTCAGCAGCAAGGGCCCAAATCCCAGATTTGGCTGGCCATATCTCCCTCAGACTGTCCTGTCAAAAGCCACCAGGCTTCCTCCCTGGGGTGCTGGCGCCTGCTTTCTGGATGGGCTCCCCCCACCGCACACCAAATCCCAGGAACAAACAACTTCCTTCCAGCCCCTCCCCTCCTCTGGTAGATCAAAGACTGGCTCCTGGTTTTAGCATCCCTAATCCAAAATGTGGAGCCTACGGAAGAGATGGTGGGGGGAGGGAGTTGGTTTATTTTTTTGACAGACCCTGAGCTGGGGCCAGGCAAAGAAGAGACCCTAGAAGGTCTGTACACTTAGAGGCTCCTATTTGCCTCCAATCTTAAGAGTGCTTGTTTCTCCCTTCTTCTCCCCCCACCCCATTCCCAGTTCCTTCTGAACCAGGGAGCCCTGGGATGGGAAAAAAGGAAGTGAGAAGACCTGGGATCAATCCCACCTACTTACTACTGTGGGGCGTGGGGCAGGCAAGCCCCTTCAACTCTGTGGGTCTCAGTTTCCCCTCTGTAAAATGAGAAAGTGACCTCTGAGGTCCCTTCCAGCGTTTGGCTTCTAGAATTCCTCAAAGTGACATAGAGTGGGACTCAAGGGGCCACTTGTCCAGAAAGCTCTGGGAAGGGGACACCAAATGGGAAGGAAAGGGCTCCAATGCCTTGGCAACCCCAGAAGAATGGCTCAGATGCTAGGGTCCTGGAGATTTGCTGGCTGACCCTCAGGGGCTCAGGGACAGCAGCCTAGCTCTCGGAAGGGGTTGGGCAGAAACAGAACCTTTGGACAGACCATTTTCAGCAGTATGGCTCAGCTCACAGCCTCCTCCCTAGGCAATTGCTGTGGGTTAGGGAGAGGAAGGAGGCTGGGGATTGCAAAGGTCATTATTCTCGGCATTCTGGGTAGCTTAATGAGCCCCCGCAGAGAAGGCCTAGATAGGGGGGCTGTGGAGTAGGGGGCCTCCAGCTCCCAGTTCTCTCTTGAACAGTCATTATCAATCCATCTGCTCTTCCCCCCACCACGTGACCACCCGTTGCCTAGGTGCTGCGGAGAATGAAAAGGGCTATGGCCCCAAAGGTTTCTTTGAGAAAAACAAAACAAAAACAGGTTCACAACGAAAAGGGGAGCTGGGGAGGGTTCAGTCACCAGCCGTTTATGAAGCATCAACTTTGTGCCTGATACTGGCCTCGCACCTGGAGGTGCCCTCCCTCCAGAGCTCACATTTTAATGGGGAGACAAGCTCTGCAGAGCCATCACGCACACAGAATGATTCCTGGGCCTTTGGGACAAACGTGCAGCAACAATCCGGGCGGGAGGGGCTGGGAAAGAAAGCCAGTGTCTGAACTGGAAGCCGCAGTGAGGAGAAAGCGGAGGCTGCGCCACATGGTTACCTAGGCAACGGAGATGTGGGCGATAGGGCATGAGCTGCGTGGGAGGGAAGCTGACATGCCCGGGGACTGCGGAGGAGCTGAAGGGCTGTCTGTCTGTTACCTCTTCCTGCTGCAATACGGCCAGGGAAGGAGCACGTATTAAATGCCTACTGTGCGCAACTGTCAGTCACCCACTCCTTTGACGACGTCTTGTACCATTTTGGGGAGAGAGTCATTGTGGGTCTTTACAGCTGCCTCACATCTCCCTGTCGAGGCAGGACCATTCTAGCTCCTCAGAGACTGCATGATTAGCAGCTCTATGATGTCATGGGAAGCATAGCAAAGGACAGGCACGAGACACATAGCCGGGAAGGAAGCCATTGCAGTGTTCCGGGGGAGAATGGCTGGAGTGGACAAAATGCTTACTCACTTGCCCGGAGAAAGGCGGAGCTGGTCCCATTGCAGCTTCCTCATCCATGAAATAGAGATCATTAATGATAGCTTATTAATTAGAATAGCTTATAATGGGAAAATAATAGCTTATTATAATATTTAACGGGGTTATTAGAATCACTTGCGATCATATGTGTAAAGTGGTATGTAAGTCAGTCGATAAACGTTCATTAAGTGCCGATGAGCTCACCGAGAGAGAGAAGGTAGACAACTAGGTAATGGACAGTAATGGACAGACCCTAAGATCAAA